AATCCGTTTTAAAATTATTGCGAAAAATCCAAGAAAACTTTCTTGATAAAATGTTTCTTCTTGGATTTTTTGCAATAATTTAAAAACGGATTTTCGTAGTTTTCTTTTTTGTGAAAGAATGTTTCTTCTTAACACGTGTTTCTCAATTTCCTGTACACATTGCGGAGAGGGAAATTCTGGCCGTTCCGTTGTCAAATCCCTTGGAAAATTTTCCCTCTGCTTTTTACATAGACGTTCTTTGGTCAGAATAATCTCCATGTATGGTACAGCGGGATTTGGCGACATGATGATGAGCAGTAAATGGGTCATTTTGTTCTTGGCGACAATTTTCAAAATCATGGCCGTGGCCGTATCGTATACTAGGATTTTGCCGCAAAATCTTTCTCTCTCTCTCTCTCTCTTTTTTTTTTTTAAATAAATACCTTGTCCATTTTGCAGTAAAATAAAAAAATAGTAATCAATCATCTAGGATAACCATGTAATATAACTATATCGCTAAAATATCGTTGAGTATCTAATTAAATTTTTAAGTAATTATCTTTATTTTATGTTATTTCATATCATTTAATTTTGCTTCTTCCTCTAAATTTATTTATCATTAGTAAATAATATTTCCAAATTTCAGGAAATTTCTCTGCCATAATCCTGCAATTAATTCTAGCAGTATGATGACATCACAAAATTTAATGCACATATTTTTTTCCTTATGTATACTGCGAAATAAATAAAATACCTCAATTTAGTAAAAAAAATATCATTAAATAGATTTCTTTCATTTGTTGCAGAATGTCTGCAAAAAACCATTTTTTTCCAGATTGGGCAGATTCTAATCTCAATCTTCAGGGAGAAACAACTCCTATTATAATTATATTGTGTTTTCAAGTGTTAAGGTGGCTTTTAAGAATACACCTGACACAAATTACCTAAAATCTAATAACATTTAGCATTGCTTTGTGATTATAAGAACCGGATTAGCCTCGTGTGAACTGGGGATGATCATGAGTAATAATTAAATAAAATGTACAGTTGTTATCCAATGTATATATCTTAATTTATTAAGTTTTTTTAAGCGGAAAGTAACAAATTATCAAACAAAGTGTACCAAGAATAATTAAGAATAAATGTCCTCGGGATTATTGAATAATTAGTGAATTTGCTACACAGTACAAGTAATACCATAATTAATTACCTCTTAGTACAGCCAACGTACATTACGCGGATAGACTGGAATTTTCTCGAAACATACCTGGAAAAGTCGGGGAATTTCATTATCCTGTTTGAGTGGCAACCCTGCAGACAACTAAACGACTTCGAACGTGGTCGCATTGTAGGGTTGCATGAAGCTGGGTGGTTATACTGAGCAATAGGCCACCACCTGCAGCGTACAGACATTGCTGTGCAAAGATGTCTGCAGCAATGGTTGCTACAAGGAAATTGCCAACGAAATGAAGGCTCTGGAAGGCCAGGCATCACAAAAGCGAGGCAAGATAGGATGATTGTTCTCCAGGCCCGAACTGCCCCAACAGTATCGTTGTCGACTCTTCAACGCACTACAGCCACGTCTATACCTCCTGTGGTACCGTGCACTATCTCACGGTGCTTGTCTGAGGCAGGGTTATGCTCACAGAGGCCTTTAAGACGTTTGCAATTGACCTTACAACATGGCAGAGTCTTTTGGAGTGGTCCGCAGCCGATCATCATGGTTGCCATCAGACTGGCATCATAGTGTTCAACGATGAATCCCGCTTTTCACTCTTGAAGCAGATGACCACCGTGCTTGTGTCTGGAGAGGACTGGGCCAGCGGTCTCAATCAGCCTTTGTTTTATAAAAGCATACCGCCATAACCAATGGTGTGATGTTGTGTGGTGCTATTTCTTATGACAGCAGGTCATCTTTAGTCATCCTCTGTACATCTTTAACAACTCAACGATATGTTGATACCATCCTGCTGCCGGTTTCATTACCCTTCATGGCACATCATCCTGGGGCTTATTTTCCAACAAGATAATGCCAGGCCACATACCGCTCACATATCTCTGGATTGTCTCCGTGCAGTTGATACTCTTCCTTGGCCAGCCAGGTCACCAGACCTTCACTAATTGAGCATGTTTGGGATATAGTAGGCTGCCAGAGTCGGGTACCACAAAATATTGCAGATCTGAAGCAACAACTGATGAATGTCTTGCAGAATGACATTAGGAACCTCAACCACTCCTTGCCTTGATGAATTCAAGCATGCATTTCCACCAGGGGTGGTTCAACCGACTACTAATTTGAACACTCAGTGGGTGATTGTGAGCCGTGAACAGGTACTATGACCTTGATTTTTTAATCATTTTATTTATCTGTGTATGAGCTATACACATATTCAGTTTCATCAAAAACAACCACTTCCGACATGGTGCGTCAATTTTTTTGCAAAAGAGTGTATACTTTTAGGCAAGAAATGTTTTTAACAATAGTTAGTTTCACAAGGTAACTTTTGCCCAAAACAAATGTGTAGAGCAGTGGGAAAGTATTTTGTGTGGTGTATGATCTTGTTTTGGTATAAATGACCAATAATATCATTTGGTGCTTGTTTAGATGATGCAAGTTGTGTTAGTAGGGTGTAATTAATATTTAGGAAAACTGTGAAAGTTGATGCCATGAAAGTTAGCAGTGTTCCTGCCAAAGTTGCACATTATATTCCTGCAGAATTCTGAGCTGCACTTCTGTCCGCAAATTTTGCAATAAAACTTATTCACCAAATAGCTACTGCTGATAAGTATTCAGTCCACTTTAAAAGCTTTCATTCCTTTCTGTAGTTCCCCAATTCTACCAGAAGCTCTGTTTAGAATGTTAAGAGTGCAGACTTTTCCATAGGTAATTGTCCTATTGGTTGATGTTTTGTTGGCCATATTCAGTAGTTCTTTCTCTCATTCAACAGATGTTATCTCAACTAGTTGTAAATGAATCTGTGTGCAGTCATAAATGTGACTGTATATACCTAGAAATGCATTCCTTTCCAAATGGATATTCTCTTGTTATAATTTTTCACATTGCATCACTTGCAGTATCTGTTTTCAAATAAAGTACTATATTGTGTCCATTAATACACTTTATTTTTATGGTTAGGATCCCATAGCTTTGAAAATAATGCACTGCTTACTTTTGTATAGGAGGAAAATCCCCAATTTTTATGTTTTTCAAAATTCAAGAAAAAATACAGCAATAACAGTTAATTTAGATCCTTGTTCATAAAAACAAAAAGTGGCTTATCGAGAATCTATTGGCATGATGTCAAATGATAACGCAGGTACTATAAGTGTGTTACATGTCATGCTTATCTGTGTTCATAAAAACAGCAAGTGTCTTATTGAGTGTTACAAGACTATCTGAATTTAATTCATTCAGTTTTCTACTAAAAAATACATAAAAAAGGAATAAGTAATCGAAATAAAGGAAGCAGGCCACCCAAGTAATCAAAATAGAACAGGCACTCCTCCTCAGTATGAAAACAAGGAGCATTCCTGCCTTTCTTTTAATATTCTAAGCATAAACTAAAAATACTAGTGGGTGAAACATATATCAAAATATAATATCCTTAACAAGGAGACTAAACAGCAATGTACTTAGTACAATTATGCTAAAAACTAGTCAAACATGAAGGTTTTGCAGTTGTCCTACCATATTTAGTTTCCGTGTCTTATCAGGAATCTTAATGTTTCTATTAGCATAACTTATATAAATTTCATCATTGAGGTTTCTGTTTTCTCGATATCTATATGTACATTGAACACACTTGCTAATTCCATTTTAAATGTTTTATTTGAACTATATTACTGGAATTATAGCAGCTGTCTGATTCTTTCCATATTAGATACATCAGCAGCCAGTGTATGAACTAATTTTCATGAAACATATGGATCTCTGTTGGTCATCAGCCCACTTTGCATGATTGTTTCTTTCTGCTCCTCTGTTCTGTCTTGTTCATAAAATTTAAATTACTTGGAGATCTTATGAAGCTTTTTGTACTCTTTAAAAATTTATATGATAGATATATTAGTTGCTAAGAAGGAAAATTGTTGGGGCAGAATATGCTTTCTGTTTCGTCTTGAAACTTAAGTGTACATATTGGTCTTGTACAAGGGTCGTGTTAGGCCTGCCTACCTTTGACTGAACTTTCAAGGCAGCTGTTACACTTCATCCTCAGTTCATTTAACAAAGGTTGAAGTTTTTTTTTTTTTTTTTTTTTTTTTTTTTTTTTTTTTTTTGTAAAACGGCTATTCTATCTATTTTTTGCTTATAACATGCAAAATAAATCCATTGCAGAAAATCTGTTTAATTTTGAAAACAAATTTTTAAATTAATGCCACCCTGAACCATAATTGTCCCAACATTTCCATTACTAGCTGCATGACTAAATTTGATGAATATTGCACCATGTGTTTGTGATTTACTGTGAATTATTTTTTGTTCCTTATTGGAAACTTGTCTAGTATAAAAGTATAAAATTACTTATTAAAAAATGTTAAATAGCAATACAGCAGTATTCAGTTAAGCATAGTAATGTTTAATTATGATTTAATTATGAAGATTTCATAATCATCAGATAATGTAATTGCAGAAATAAATTTACATCTGTTAAATATGAACAGTGTGTGTATTAAAATCAATAAAAATACTTTTGCACAGTATTGATTTATGAAAACAGTTAATTTTAAGTGTTGGGTGTTTCCTAGAAAAGTAATTATCGAAATTGAGGTCTACTAGTATTCAAACCGATTTTTATGTGCAGGTTTTCAAGTATTAAGATCCAATTGACAATCATTATTTCTCAGTTTTTTATGCTATCTATTAGTTGAGAATGCTTATGCTTAAAATTTTGTAACTTATAGTTTTCTTTCATGTAAATTCTAAAAATTATTTTAAAAGCGCTACATTTTGCAGCAAGTGTCAAAAATGCTATCTCTTCTTACTTCTTTTAGTCTGAACATTTTATGTTATTTATTTTATTCAGGCAGCATATAAGTCCGAGGAAGGGAAATGCAAGTTTTTCAGTGATGAAGTGAACAGAATGCTTTTGAGGTGAGATGATTTTATAGCATGGTATGCAGAGTATATTTTGCTTCTGCAGTTTTTTTTTACATTTGTCTTATTCAGAAAATCAATACTAATTGAATGTTTTTAAGCAATCAATATTAATTGCATGTAAAGTTTTTAATTTTATGCCAAAATTTACTGTACGCTTTTTGTTGAATTCTGGATACAAGGTATTTTTGTAGCATTACATGATGGTTTGTATTTAAAGTATATCTATGAGATCTAAAAATATGAAGTCTTTTGTGAGTTGTTATATGCTGCAGTTGATTCACCATATAGTAGCTGTCTAGAGGCCAATGAAAAAGGACCTTCTGCCAAATGATCATTACACGAAAAGTTGCTTGGAAGTAAGGCCAAAGAATTATCAGTATATTATTCCATTAAACTAAAGAATGCACATTGCAATTTATGTGCTTAAAATTTTTATTTGTAATAAATTCTAAAATAATTAAGTCTTTGTAATCTGGGGATGGGGGAACACATTTAGTTTTTTTATAAGTTTGTATAACTTACAAATAATAGGAATGAATAAAACAAGTTGTAAATTTCATAATTAGATAATTTTTGGTTGCCCTGTGAACTAAGCACACTACAGGTCTACTCCCCCTATGGGCACTTCGTGGAGGTTCAACCTCCACTATTACCCTTCCAGGGAAGCAGCATATCACCTGGATACGACACCAGGCAGCACCTGCCAGTCGCAGAGGGCTGTTACCCAGCAAACCGGGGAGGTAATCACCGGCTACGGATCCAATCCCTCAGGACATGCCAGATTCCGAGAGCCAATGAGTGACCAAGTTCATAAATTTTATACCCCCATGGCCGAGACTGCCTAGGTACAGATCCTAGCCAGTAGCTTCACAGAGTTCTCTACGTCGACCCCGGGGAGGGGATAAATTTCATAAACAAAAGTCTGTGTTTTTGATAAAAATTATTCATATTAAGATGCTTCATATGATATCCTAAGGAATGAATGTAAAATACTGGTTTGCATTTTCATCTCCTTTGAAGAAAATTTTCACACTCTATTTGCAGCTGTTGCATCTTTTATAGATAGCAATTTTTTTTCTTTGGTTACAAGTTGAAAAAGTTTCACTAGTTCATTCAGAATTTAATGACTTTAGTATATCCTGCACCCACTGGATATTTTTGTCAGTTGCAACATTTCTTGAAAAATGAAATTTCTTGAATTTTAACGTGTTTTATCATTTGGAGAAAAAGTTTCACTTTATTTATCTGCATCAAAAGTAAATAAGATTTCTAATGGTTTGTTCAGCAGTCAAGCCTTTCAGTGATAAATTCTGAGTGATGAAATCCTCTGTGGAAAAGTGGGAAAGCTTTTTAAGTGGTTTCACTAAGTGGAGAGCACTCAACATGTTTATATCGTTAGGCTTTCTTGGGTCCCTAATTCAATTAAAATGTTATTCTGTACTCATTTTCATTAATACTGTATCTCTTGTTTCTTATATTTTATTTAACTGACATAGAATTTTTTTGAGGGGGAGGTTGGGATTCAGTTTTTAGAGATTAAAGCTTTCTTCTTTTGTACTTCAGTACAGTTTTCGAGGAGTAATTGAATATTTCATTATGCTTCAGTCATTATTTTCATTGAAACTTTTAGCTCATTTTTAAAGATATATTGCTTTTTTCCTATTCATTTGCATTTGCTTAATAGACATAGAGAAGAGGGAAATATTTTTAAAGTTGTATGATTATAATATCGACATGTAAGCAGTAATCGGTGATGACATAACTGTTTTATGTTTACTACGTATGTTTTAATAAGCTTGTAAAGGAATTAAATAGCGTAAATATTGTTGATGTTGTTGCCTTTTTTTGTGTATTATGTCTGATTTTGCACTGAACTCAATACTGGAAGCTGAAATTGAAAAAATAATAAATTTTAAAACTTCTGCATGAGTAGCTGACATTCAAATAACCAAAATACATTTATAAACACTAACTATAATGTAAAAGATGGTTGTGAACTGTATTGCTTTAGTGCTGGTGCAAATGCCATTGGTTTTGCCACTCGTCTATTTTATTATTTTCCATTGAGATTTCTATTCTTGTATTTTATCACATTAATAATTGTAAATAATTTTTGATTTAGCTATATTTTAAAACTGCTAATGGTGAAATTATCCGTAGAAGATACTTTTTTGTGAAGGCCATTGACAATAAACTGGCTTTGCATAAATAAAAGTGTTGTTCTAGGAGAAATAATTATTGGATGCATTACCTAATGTTAACATTTCCATTTGCTTCTCATGTAATTTTTCAAGTAGATTATTCTTAAAAATATTCATGCCTGGTTAAGTTGATTGTGCCATGTGGTCGCTGATAATTTCTTCGCAGCATTCAAAGTAAGGATTGAAATAAATTTGCTACGAAACATATAATATAAAATTCTAACTTTAATTTACAATAGAACCCTTAAGTCTCGCATTTAATGTGGCTTTTCCCCTTTTTATCCTAAAAATATTAACATGCTTTTAACAAATCTCTAAATGTGCTACACAGCAAGCTGAAAGTCCTCGTAGTTGGTGATATGATAAGATGGGGAGCACTTCCTTGGACCTTCGCCTGGTCTCGTTCAAAATTGGGGCATAGTTTAATAGTTAGCAAGACTGGACATTATATACCTTCAGGCATGCACAGGTGCCTAACTTTCTTCAATCTGTACCTATACCTATTAACAAATATACTTTTAAAGAAAAGCATTATAGCTTTTTATGAAAAGCTATGAAATTAACTTTTTTGGTACATTTGACTTGTTAAATTGTAATGAGAATTATAAATTTAATTCATTTAATGAAAAAAAAATGTGTAATTGGAAATAAACTAGCCTTTTATTGAAAAATTAAAGTAAGTTTAATGTGTTAACCTTTCTTTTAAGTTAAATCCTCATAAAATGATTGTTTACTAATATTGCATTGATGCCGTTTTTTTTAGTTTTGTTTCAGCATTAGTATTTGGAAATCATTTGTGGAATTTCATTATTTTTTGTTAAAGGAAAGTACAGTCAAAAGTCTTTAATTCAGACTCATCGGGACTTTGGCGATTCCGGATTATAGATCATCAGTTTAAATCTGGTAAGATGGCATGCAGAAATTATAAAATTAAAAATATGAAACAGTAATTTATGAAACTAAGAGCAATTATGGTCTAAAGTGTATCAAAATTTACAAGAAAAAAAAAGCTTAATATTTATTTGTTTACTTTATTAAACATTTCTTTCAACGCGCGCATGCGAAAAGCATACATTCCGCATAGTTGAAATTAGAAAATCTCCCCCCCCCCAGCAGAGCAGCGTGAAATTGAGAAACAGATTTCGGAATGGTTAGAGAAACAAATGAAATTGATAAACAGATTTCGGAATGGATATGCTTTTATCCATTTTTTGCAGCAATTCCACTTTTTGTTTGATGGACATCGAAACATGCTTTCGCTTTGTAGATCCTTCGGCAGCTTCAGAATCGGAAATTCTTTTTGACATAATCGAAAGTTCAAGCTTACTTTTATAAAATTGCTCTACCAGTCTGCAAAAAATAATAAGCCGGATCCAATTACAAGATTAAGGAACAACGCAATCTGCATCATTAACTGAAATAAATAATTAGATAATTTTAGCTTAGCTTATACCGTCTGTTATACATTAAACGCGCATGCGTAAATGTATTATGCGCGTGCGTAAGCGCATATGCACATGCGCAGAAAGTTTGTAGCTTTGAGGTCCAGATTATAGATCATTCCGTATTATGGACGTCTGGATTGAAGACTTTTGACTGTATTCAGTTTTACTAATTCTGTTATTGTATATATATTCATATATTTATTCCACTTATATTTATTTTAGTGTGGAGTTAAAAGCTCAGGAGTTAACCAGTGCCCAGAGATCTACCATATATTCACATTTAGCATCTCATCTTCCTTGTACAAAAGAAACCCTTCAGAAAAGGGCCAAAAAGCTTAGATTAGATCAAGAAGATGGAAAATTGAGAGAACCTATGCAAAAACTTAGAGATGGTATAGAATATGTCATTCCATATTTTGTTGCTAGTATAGTTACTTATGAAGTACTTTTGGGGCTTTTTTTGTAATGTTAGACATGGAACCACAGCATTTTATTTATATGAAATTGCCATTAAAAAATATAAAGCATTTATTTTGAAACCATTTAGCAAATAATATTGTATAGATTTTTTTACTTGAGAAAATTTATTGCCCTTTTTAAATATTTTTAAGCTCAGAATTAAATTTCTTTGAGATTTAACAATTTTATCTGCCATTGGATTGCTGTTATCTGGTTATTAATACTTATATGTTAATTATTTCTAGGCATAGCTGAAGTAATGCCTGAAATGCTGGAAAAATATGCTGCCTCTCTACAAGCTTGTGATGCAAGGTATTTGCAATATTTGAAATAATCTTTCAAAAGTTTCACCTAATTCTGCTCAATAAATCAACACTCAGTTCATTACAATTCTGAAAATTGTTGACCTTATAATTTCATTTAAATATATCCTCTTGAATTAAATTTAAAATTTCACTAAAATTGTTACGACTTAGATCAGCATTTCTCAAGTGGGGACCACTTTTTTAAATTAAAATGTTCTGCAGACCATCTTACTCTTGTCCCTTCAAAAGATATTTTTTTTACCATATGTTAATATAGTATACTTATTTTTTTAAAATAATTTTTTTTTTATAATTTTTAATACAATTTAATTTTATATTAGTGTTAAGTCAATACAAGAAAACTTATATTCATTTTTAATTATTCGAGAACATTAGAATTTGAAAGATCTTTATCTTAAAAATTCAAAATGACATAAATGTTGGTACTCCTAAATAAATAAGATGATTATTCAGTTCTTAGACAGCTGTTTTGTGTTTGATTGCAAGCAAGCAGGCTTAAGTCTGAGTCCAGCACATACATTAAGTCTATATGGGTACCTCATCTTGATTTGAGTTAATGATAAAACTCTTTTTTACACAAGTAAATTGAAACAAACTGAATTATAATTTTTAAAGTAGCCTTGTTTAATTCAGTTTTCACCTGTAATGCAGTCCAGGTATAAACCATGCTTTCTGTTTTGAATTTTATTTTAAATTCATTATCTTTTGAGAGTTGAGTGAAGTATTTTATTTCATTCAATCGCAGTTTATTATTTTTAAAATGACAATGGAAGGGATCACAAACCCAAGTTTTTTTTAAAGCACTTGGAAAATAAGTCAAATTGTAATGTCAGAGTGTTGAGGTGCAAATATATGTCATTGCATAATTATTTGCCAGGGATAGTATTATATACTACTAAAAATATTCTACAGCTGTTAAGTAGTAAACATATTTTACAAAGCTAAATCTATTTACTTCCAAACCAAGTTTCCACTCAACCTTTATTTTCTATGGGCATTGAATAGAGTCAATAGACCTTGCAGATAGAAATTTCATCTGAAAAATATGTTTGTGTACTTTGTTCTATGCCATCAATAGGAAATGGTTTAAAAACTTTTGTTAATTTACTTTAAGAATAATAGGTGGAGGGGATACCAGAATTTCACTATAGCTCACATACATATAGTTCTGCCCAAATTTTGAGCAAGAACATCCTTGGTTGGCAGTCAGTGTCATTAACTTCTATACTGGTTGGGTGGCTATTTACAAATAATGTGACTTAATTCAAAGAACCTTGTGAGTATCTTATCCCATGAAATCTAGCGAACTTAAGAAGCTGTTTGCACATTCTGCTGTTCAATGGCTGTGCCGTATTAAAGCAGATTATCTTAATGCTGTTTTCTTGCATGCTTTTGAATGTAAGTGATTTAACTTTGCGTAGAAAGGCATCTCAATGAATGCAAATGGTTCCAGATAACATGAAATGCCACAAGGAATTTGAGCATAAATCCATTATGCTTACCAGTGAGCTCAAAAATTCCACCCCCCAAAAAATCTTTGCAAGTTTTTTTAGGAATGTCATACTGTTGCATCTACTCATTTTAGGACTAGAAATTTTTTGTCCAATTTTTTCGAGTTTACAAAAGTCTTCGAAAATATTATCACAGTCATCATGTCATTGTTAAACCTAGATGTGAGGTAACAAAGCTTGATAGTTAAACTGTTCAGTCAGACTCTATGTACCGAATCCAATACGTTGCTTACAATGTCAGCGCTTTGGGACATGAAAAGATCTCTTGTCGCGGTAGTCTCACGTGAGCTCGATGATCCACCCTAGGCCATGCCAGTGAAGGCTGCTCTGCTGCACCTTTATGTATAAATTGTAAAGCTGAGCACCCAGCTTTTTCAAGGTCATGTCTCAAATGGCAGACAGAAAAAGAAATTCAAAACATTAAAGTTACAAAAAGATATTTGCAGAATCCAAAAGAATTGTTCTCTCTAATCAGCCAAGACCTAATAAATCTTATGCATCCTCAACAAAATCACGTAGATCAATATCAACACAAACCACAATAACTGCACAGAAAAAAGAGCTAGCAATGACAGAAGATCCTAGAAACCAAAAAATCAGCGAAAAAACCTGATGTTGAAAGTAGTACGCTGGTGACTGCGTCCAAAGGAAAACAGGATGTCCAACAGAACAAACATAGAGATGATATCAGAAAGAAAAATAAGCAAAAACCCAGGACCCCCAGTTAAAGCTATGTTGCAAACGACTCAGACGAAATGGACGTTGAACAAGGGTTATCCCTTCCGAAACACTTTTTGCCTCAAAAAGTCAAAAAAACACCGCCGCCAAAACAAGCATTCATAATGGGTACATTTATTTTGGGGAATTGCAGAGGTTTTCGTCAAAACCTGGATAACATCAAGGATTTAATAAACATGCATCAACCTGCCTGCCTTGCGCTTCAGGAGACCTTGTTAAAACCAAGCAGACATGCTAAGATACGGAGATGTACCACAATAAGGAAGGACTACCCATCTGGGGATCGTGCCTGTGGTTGCGTGGCCCTTATCGCCTCCCCACAACCAACCATATACTGCTCTCTGTTTGACAACCTCCCTTCAAGCTGTGGCGGTTCAGATTAATTTACGCTTTTCAATCCCTGTATGCACCATTTATTTACCCCCACATGAGCATGTTGATCAGCGAGAGTTGGACAGAATAATAAAGCAGCTCCCAGACCTTTTTTTTTTTTTTGCTTTTAGGTGACTTCAGTGCTCATAGTTCCTTATGGGGAAGTAGGGACACTAATTCAAGGGGCCGGCAGATCGAATAATTAATGGAAGATCATTCTATTGGTCTCCTTCATAATGGAAAATACACTTACTTTCATCAGCTGACTAAAACATTTCATGCAATTGATCTGGTTTTTAGTTCTCCATCTCTACTACCTTTCTGCTCTTTCAGTGTAGGGGAGAATCTCTACGATAGTGACCAGTTCCCAGTCATTGTAAATATTACAGGAAAATCAAAGATCTCAAGACAACCACTCTTACTTTACAATAAAGTTGATTGGGAACTTTTTGCATCATGTGCTGTGCTGACTGAAGAAATGGTTAATGATGTGGACATTAATACAGCAGTAAATATGATCTCTGATACTATTGTACAAGCAGCTGAACTCTGTATTCCGAAGTCCTCAACAAAGTTCCCTAAAACCTGGTTGAACAGTGATTGTCATAAAACTTTGAGAGAGCAAAAGAAAGCTTGGCGTATTTTTTGCCGATATCCAACACTGGAAAATCTTGCCTTTAAAAAAGCTAAGGCAAATGCAAGAAAAGTGAGGTGTCAAAGTTAGAGAAAATCATGGGCAGCCTATGTGTCCATTATTACCTCCTCAATGTCTAGCAAACAGGTTTGGGAAAGAGTCTGCAAAGTTTCTGGATTATATTATGATTATTCCTTTTTGAATCCTTTAAAATATTGGCGTCCGTGGGACAGGACTATGGATAATTTGAAACGGGAAAGAAACAATTACGGCGATATTTCACAACTTCTTTGAAAGAAGTGGACACTGTTCTGAAAGATGAAACAGTAAGTAAGATTGATTTGATATCTGTATTTAACATATTTAATGATAAAGCTGACAGATTGTTTCAGTTAGATGAAAATGTTAAAGTAAAATGGCTAGAAATGGAAAATTTTAATAAAGATGAATTTTCTAATGATGTAGATTAAACAGAAAGCTATCGAAATCAGTGGGTTGCTATGAAAACGAAAGTTGATTTAATGTTATCAACCACTGAAAGAAAGGGCGATATTTCCAGTGTAGTAAGTGAAACCAAGCGAAATTTCCGTCTTCCTAAATTAGAATTGAAACGTTTTGATGGTAATATTAAAAACTGGCTAGGATTCTGGGGACAATTTAAAAAGATTCATGATGATGATAGCATTGATGCAGATAAATTTCAGTATCTTTTACAAGCAACTGAAGAAGATTCATCGGCTAGAGATTTAGTTGCAAGTTTGCCACCATTTGGCGAAAACTATTACAATGCTATAGAACAGCTCAGATCTCGTTTTGATAAAGATGAACTATTAATTCAAATTTATGTTCGTGAACTTTTAAATCTAGTTTTAACGCAAGCGAAAAGTAGCGAAAATTTTACTTTGCGGATTCTTTATGATAAATTGGAGACTGAGCTGCAAGCATTAGAGACTGTAACGTCTGAAAAATATGAAGCAATGTTATATCCTTTAGTAGAATCAGCTCTGCCAGAAGCTTTTATCAAGGAGTGGGAACGCACACACAACCGTGTAGAAAATAAAGACAAGATGAACATGTTAGGAAGTTTATTAGAATTTCTTCATTTGGAAGTCGAAAGTGAAGAGCGGTTACAGCTTGCTCGATCAGGGTTTGCGAATGATCAATTTGAAAAATTGAAAACGAAAGAATAAATTCCCACTGCAGCTTGTATTGTATCTAATGAAAAGCAAAGAGCTGAGAAAAATGACAAACATTGTTTATTTTGTAATAAGTCGTTTCATAATACCTCAGAATGTTTTAAGGCTGCCGAGATATCATTGGAGGCGAAAAGGGAAACATTGAAGAAAAAAGGAGCGTGTTTCATCTGTTTGAAACCAGGACACAATTCTAAGATCCGCAAAGCTTATTTAAAGTGTATTATATGCAAGAAAAAACACCATAGCATTATGTGTCCAAATATAAATCAATCAAAACAAGACAAACAATCTGAATCGGATGCACAGGTTCTTTTGTCACCAAAAAAGTCTCCAACGTTATTGTTAACTGTATTGATGAAAATCATCAATGGTGACAAGTCCGGAATCGTTCAAGAATTATTTGATACTGGTGCTCAGAGATCTTTCATACAAAAAGATATTGCGGAGAAACTAGGATTGAAACCTGTAGATCAAGAAATTATGAGTCATGGACTTTTTGGGGGCAGTGAAACTAAACAAGAGTCCCATAATGTCT